ACTAACATCAAGTAATCAATAACCATTCAGATGGTTAAAACTCTTTTATATAATAAACTCTTTATCGTTTTACAAAACTCTTTTAAACTTATATATTGTCAAAATCATGTCTATATAGATATAGTTATATAAACAAGGTTGAAAGGGCTTAGGACTGATAACTCGCTTTATTTCCTGTTCCGTGTTTGGTTGTGGACTTAGGGTATCGGTTGTTTGTCCGAATGTCATTTGAATCTTAGTTATATATATATATATATATATATATATATATATATATATATATATATATAAGTACCTTCAATCAGTTCAATACATTTGGGTAGCAAAGGTGTACAAACATGATCAGTCAATCAATAACAGAGCTTACTAGTAAACTATAATAGGTATAGTTTAGGAAGTTACTACTTACTATTTCTAGAACAATGAAACTTAAATGAGTCAGTTCATACACGAGTCAGTTCAAAACATACAATAACTAGAACAGGAAGGAACATACAATAACAAGAACAGAAAGGAACATACATCCTTTTACAAGAACAAGATAACATTAATGTGAAACCACTACTTCACGGCTTAGAAATATACTTGTTAGGTCGCGTTTTGTAACCAAAGTCTCCTGGAGGGAGAGCGGGCATTGTGTGTATAGATCTATACAAGACTGACAATCCCACATCTCGACTGTTCGCTACAGTTTGGCCGGCAGGCCAAGGGGTGACAACTGTCACATCAGTTTCGACGCCAGCAGGTCGTCATGTTAAACACTCGTCAATCAGTATGGTTATAACCACATCACATTTTAACCTTAATTAAACAAATTGGTTTTTAAGGTAGTTAGTGCTTCAGTAGTTACTTATTACAACATTACTGTACACTTTCATTTTCCCCTTTTACATTCATATAGTGATCTTCTCACATAAAAGGTAATGTAAACTATTTTCTGGTAATAATAGTCATATACTTGGGAAAACACTTACTTTTACAAAAAGAACAAACATGCAGAACAGTCAGGTCTTGGTAGAAGACTACTCTCCATTTTAGTAGAAAATATAAGATTTTCTAGGAAGTATACAAACTTTACATCAAACATTTACAAACTTTACATCAAACACTTACAAACATTTTCTTCAAACTTATACAAACATTTGACACTAAAATACTTATGAACTCACCAGCTTAAATGCTGATCTACGCTTTCAAAATAACTTGTATTCTCAGGTCACCAGTAGACAGGTAGACTGGACCAGGTTTTTGAGAAGACGGAGCATGTTCAAGACTCGTCTTTTATTTTGATATATATATTTTTGGTGTCTTACAAATACATTCAGAACACACTTGTATTAAATTATATTATTAATGCAATGGATGATGTTGTTGCTTGTTTTACTATTGTGCATTGTTATGATACTGTACATGATGTCATCCGTCTCCGAATGTTTCCGCCATTCTGGTTTGGGGGTGTGACAAACATGATTTTCTAAGTATGCATATATACATACACATATACATATACAAATAATGCCCTTTTAACTTTCAAATGTTTTATTGCAACAAGGTTACATTGTGGTTATACTTATACAGTTATACATAGCTACTACACGTTAAACCTTGCTTAATCAAAATTTTCCAGTTGTCACATTTTGACTTTCATTTTCGTGCATAACGGGGGTAAAAATAAATGATTTTACAAAAATCATATCTCTCTCATACGGATCCAGTTTTCGGCAAACTTTGTCCTAAAGTTTATATCTTGAGGAGTACTACGAAACTTCTTTTGCACTTTTAGTCAAAACTCAACCAATCTTTAAGTACTGTTTTGATGAATTAATTTTAATTACGCAATTGATTTCTATTTTTATAAAATTCATAACTCTTTCATTTTGAGTCATATTTTTACGAATCTTATATCTTTGAGATCACGTTAACGAGTACAATCCAAGTATGTTAACCAACTTAGAAAATGGTACAACTTTTCGGATGTTAATTTTTAAGTCTAATGAACATTTTAACAAATAAATGTAATGAGACATTTGATTCTTATTGTCTAAAAAATCAAATATTACAATACTAAGCGATTACATCTATTTTTATAATCTTTCATAATGGTGATCAGTGAACTTATCGGTTGTCACATTGGCTAAAATTATTTATCCTAAATAATCTTTTATTAAAAGTCATTTTTAACTCGTATTATCTCTAAGTTGACTAGCCCGAATATGCTGGCGTTACAAGTTTCTTGGACCACGGTTGTTGTTGTTGTTGTCGTTGTTGTTACCTTCGTTTCCTCATTGGCCTCCTTTGATAGAAGTAATAATTGAGGTTTATGTGGGTGTTGAGTCTGGGATGGTGTGAGATGGTGAGGAAGGTGGAGTGGTGTCTGTAGGTGAGGATGGTTGATGCGAGGGTGAAGGAGTTTCGGTTTTAGTTTTTGTTGCACTTGAGAGGGGTATGTCCTCCCAAATGTTAATAACCGGAGGGGTGGTTGAGGAAGAAGTACCGGAATACGGTTATCTCTTTCGAAGCTTGGCTTGTTTTTTTGATCCTCTTGAGTGTTTTCTCAATTTCTGTGTCAATTGGCAATGGTGTACATGTACGAAAAAATCTAGACATAAACAATTAGTAATACTGTGTCCCCGACCGACAATCACGTCAATTTGTTAGGATGACAAACCCAACAAATAATAGGGGTAGAAAATGAACTACACTGTTACTTTGCACTAGAAAATAATACAAGACAAACAAAATCGATCCATAGAGACACAGAGTCACAAATAAAGGGAGTTTGCCATCCGGTTTTAACCTGCATCAAACCATCAAACGATACCATACTCAAATATAATTGCAAGGTAATACTCGAATATAATTGCAAGGTAGTCATTTACAATCAAACAGCTATAGAAAAACGAGAACAAGAAAATCATTAACAAAACCAAAGGAAAAAAAAAGGGGGCAATTGCAGTGAAACCCTTGTTATTCATTGTTGCCTGCATCCCCATCAATTCCTCCTCCACTAATGGCCGGCTAGTTAATCCCTTGCCTCCGATCCATTGTTGTCCTCAATTACGCACAAAACAAAGGAGATGGGAAGCAGCAGCAGCGACGTTGAAGCAGGATTCGCCAAGCTCCAAGGCGAAGACTTTGAATACTACATGCAAACCTACTCCATTATCCTCGGACGCAACTCCAAGAAATCCACCGTCGACGTCGATCTCTCCTCCCTCGGCGGCGGAATGAACATATCCCGTCACCACGCCCGCATTTTCTACGATTTCCAACGCCGTCGTTTTGCCCTAGAAGTCCTCGGGAAAAACGGTTGCTTCGTTGAAGGCGTCCTCCACCTACCGGGTACTCCACCGGTAAAGCTCGATTCGCAGGATCTTCTTCAAATCGGCGACAAGGAGTTTTACTTCCTGCTGCCCGTTAGAAGCATCCTTGGTGGTCCAATTGGGCCGCCACGTCACCACCTTCCGAACCCTAGTCCCGTCAGCAGTTACCAGTCTCCTCATCATTTGGCTTTGCCTCCGTCTGGTAGGGTTTCGACCGGGAAGAAGAGTGGTAGGGGGAGGCATATGACCGATTTTGAAGATGCTTATGAAGATGATGATATGGACGACAGTGGAGTTGTTGGGGCTAAGAAGATGAGGAGAGGTGCTCCAGATGCACTTGATGCTTATGCATATGGTGCTCCTTCTGGTTCCTGTGGGAAATCACATTCTGGTTAGTAATTTAACCTTTCGTATTGTACATTAGATGACCAATTCTGATATTAGTTTGTCACATTGAACATGCTCAATGGAACTTGCAGAAAATGATGTTTTGGTAGTTGCTCATAATCATTAATCAGTACCCTGATGTGGGTGATAAGAAACAACACTTTATATCAGATCTCAAGTTGGATTTGTATTATATTCAGCAGAAAGATCATAAAAGCAAGAACAAGATATCTCAATTCGTTATGGCAGTATCTTCTTCTTCTTGATTACATTGCAGATTTACAGGCAGCTTTTTCTGTTCATGTGAAGCAGATTTGAAATCAATATATCAGAAAACCACATATGATATTTACAATAGTAATTAGTTGAAGCAATGTATCTTTGAGCTGTATGTGATGCATCATAAAACTGTATACTTTCTTTAAGCTCATTAAGTCAAGAAGAAACAACAACTCACATGAAGTAAGATAAAGATTCATAATTGTGTTTTTCTTTTTTTTTTCTTTTTTTTCTGTTGTGATTATAGATAAAAAGTCAGAGGGAAGATCAAGAGTTGACCGAGAGTCAGACAACCAGCAACTGTTACAATTAGAAGAGAAAGATGTAGTCTCATCTGTAGCTACTGTGTTATCTGATCTTTGTGGTCCTGGTGACTGGATGGCTATGGAAAAACTTCATGCTCAGGTAAAACATTTAAAACCAACTCATTATAAAATAAAACCTTTCTCTCTTAATAACATTTCTAACTTCTAACTATTACTTTTACATTATGCAGTTGATGGAACAATATGGAAGTGTGTGGCACCATAGTCGTGTTAGAAGGTATCTAACTTCTGATGATAATGCGGGCCCTGAGGCTCAAGGAAAACCCTGGTTTGGACTGCTTATGTTGTTGAGGAAATACCCTGAACATTTTGTCATAAACACTCGATCTAGAGGACGTGTTACACTTGAGTTTGTCTCGCTTGTTTCACTCTTGTCATGAGACATTTTCAACAATCTTATGTAAATTAGTCTCTCAATATGCCAACTTTTTAGTGTCTTTTTATGTTTTTTTTGTGGTCTTTAACTTTTGCTTGTATTTGACTATATGCATCTTTTGAGCATTTGGTTTGACTATGCACATTTTATCTTCAAATGCTAAATGGTTCCCATTGAAAATTGCTATCATGGGTAAAAGTTGAAATATATTGCTTTTATTAGAAAAAAAACAAATAAACAAACAATCAAAATCAATTGTAAACATATTTTTGTGCTAAATATAGAAAGCATATCATATGATCATATCATCTTACTTACTGTCCCATATAAACAATCAAAATCAATTGTAAAGGCACCATTGGCTCTATGATTACACACTACAACAGTTGTATTTAGGGCATACTCCTAAGATATGCATTAGATTTATCACCAAAAAATTGCTAAAAATGGCTAAAGATTAAATAATTGATAAATAAAATAAAAATCATCATCAACTTCAAGATGCTGATGTCTCTGCATCATCGGATGCTGAGAAGCTGTTTCCTCCTTGATCCTCCTCAGCTTTCTGATCATCATCTTTGTTCTGTGATGGATGCTCAAATTTCATTCGCGAACTCACCCTTCTTTGATGTTCTGAGAAAAAAAAAAAAAAATATATATATATATATATATATATATATATATATATATATATATATAATTGTTTAATGGATAAAATTGGAATTCAATCACTTGAAAAGATACAAAATATGAGGGAGTTGTGGAATTACTTTTGCTGTTGATTGCAGACCGAGTCACAGTTAAGAACTCATCCCAACTCAGTTTACTGAGTTCGTCCTTCTCCTCTACTGTAAGCTCAAAATTTGGTTCTCTACCACACATGAAAGCAGCCCTATTATACAAACAACACCAAAACAAAATCAAACCCAAATGGAGTCAAATTTTCAAACATGTAAAAATGCAATGTGATTTGATTTGATTTGATTTTGATTTTGATTTGTAAACCTGTCATACAAACGAGCAGCTTCTTCTTGGGAGCCAACTGTGCCTAAATGGATCTGTTTTTTGTCCACTTTAATGGCAGCTTGCCATTTCATGTTTTTGTAATACACCCCTCTCATTATGCAAGGTTCTTGATTCTCAAAATGCTTTCTTCTGTGTCTTTTTCGCCTTTTGAACACTGAATAACAATTTAAAATTGGTCAAAACTAAAGTCAACCAACAATGTAAGGTGTTGTTTCTTTTACTTTTTTCGTTCCATTTCCCCATAAGTTAAAATATACTCACAATCTTTTTCTTTAAAGTTTAAAAGTGCACAATATTCATACATATGTTACTCAATCAAAACCATTAACTTCAAAAATTATGAATACACAAACCTGGAAGCTGAAATGGTGGCTGCTTATTAGATGAGCTTGATTCATTAACATTTAAGGATTCAGGTTCTTCACACTTTGTTTTCTCCTGCTAAAACATCAATCAAGTTATCAAGTATAAGATAACAAAGATACAACTTTATGCCATTTATAAAAACAAAGTTATATTTTATCATGTACCTCTGTAGATCGGTCAACCAAAGGTGTTGGATGCATGCTGACCTGTCTGCCATGTTGGACCCAACCACCACCAGGAGAATGTCCATTTTCAAATGATGATATCAAATCTAGAGAAGGACTTCGCCCTGACATTCACCATAGCAAATTATCAACAAATGCATTATTCACAATTCTTTATTCATTCAAGATTCACAAATGAATCAATCAAGTAAGTGGTTTTTATATAGCTGAATGGTTTAAGACGCTTGTTTATGCAACAAAGTGTTTTTTGTAACAATTTATGCAACCGACACAAATTTTGCAGGTTATAGTTAAAATGTTCACCATTTTGGTCCTATAAGGAAAAGGGTGAAACATTGTTGCATATATAAGCATTTAACCCTGTCTAAAATAACAAGTAAGCCTCACGATATCTACATTATAACAAAAAGTTGGTTAATTTGAAGAAGTACCATAAAGCTTGATCAATCTTTGTCGACGAATGCTCACCATAGCTTCCTATCACAATCTTAAACAACTCAAAGAAAGAAGTCCAAGTTATAAACAAAGAAAAAAAAGTTAAATATGACAAAAACAAGAGCCACATTAGCACATAGAGTTTGAGGATCTTAACTCCAAAAGCAGGACAACAAAGGGGTTAGAGGAATGGGTTTAAGGATCTATACTATGAAAGCACTTGAAGCATTTAATCGAACACCCAAAGGTCGATTTCAAATGTACAGGAAAGGACATGGGAGAAATATCGAGTCAACCCCACTTCATGGGTGATTTTGAATCACCAAAATAATTACAAGAACATGGGACAAAAGGTGACAAAACCTCGTAATCTTGCTCATAATTCGAACCCCAGATGGGGAAAATGTTTGAATTTCCAAAGTTGAACAGACCAACTTAAATCAAGAAAACCCAAAAACGTGGAACCCCACAAGAAATTATAACCTCAAATAGAACAAACATCCTGCCAAATAGAAAGAGAATCTCGATCGAGGGAAAAAAAATCAGGAAAAAAGCTTCATTTGTGTTCATAAAAATAAGTCAACCCACCAACCTACCACCTTTTATGGACGAAGGCCCAACAAAAACGAAGTCTTAACCCCTACTTACCAATCAATCAAGAAAAAACCCACAAAGCAAAACAGATTAATTAACTAAAACTTGAAGAAAAGAAACGATCATATCATCTACACAAATTAACGTGGATGAACGATTTTGAAGAAAGCCCCTAATTTTGGGTTTGTAGGTAGAACAGAGTGGTGGGGGCGCAGCGAAGTACAGACATTGTAAACGAAGTTAGAGTCTTTGTGTTGTAGATACCTGCGACTGCGAAGGTGGTGAAAACAGCGCAAAAACCAAGAAAGGTCACGAAATCAACAGGGGTTTTGATCTGGATGGTAGTGAAGAGGATTACAAAGGCAAGGTGGTGAGGTTGGAGAGAGAAAGTTGAGATATAGATATATCTATATATGTATATTATTATAGAGAGAGAAAGAGTGAAGAGAGAGAGAGAAAGAGAGTTGGAGAGATAGAAAGAGGGGAATTGTAGTTGCTCATGCATCTACCACCTTTTTGTTTTTATTTCACCTCTCATTATGTTTTGTTGTGTAGAAAGGGAGAGAGAGGTCAAGGGTGGTGGTTTGATTGTAATGTTTTTGTAGAGAGAGAAACTGTGTTGAATGAGGGTAATTGTGTAATTTAATAAGTACAAGTTTTGAGCTTTAAAGAAGGCTGTAAGTTGTAACACCCTTTGTGTTTGTGGGTCTTAGGTTTTCTTTGGTCAAATTTACCATATTATCCTTATGCTACTGCTCATTTTTTTGAATTTTCTTCGCCCATTTCTACACAATTCCCCTTGGGCTTAGAGTTATTTACAGAAAACCAACCAAAATGTGACTTTTTGTATCACATGTACATGTTTTGTAAACAAAATTTGTGTGGATGCCAATGGCATCATCTTTCTTCTTCATATATTTTTTGTTTTCATGTGACAATGTCAATGGTGTAGGGTTTGAATAGCAGTTTAGAATATTTAATTTATTTAAGCTTTACTTTTAAATAGCAATACGAACTAAATTTAATTTTCATATATGAGTAAAGAAAATCACAAGATTAAATTGATCATATTAGATTTTTCTATTGAAATCATATGCTACATTGTTGGAGCATTAATAATTAGGTCATGTTTAGCATATACATAGATAAGCTAGTTTATTTATCAATTATTATAATTTAGTGTTTGATCATATCATAAAATAATTGATAAATTGACTTATAAACTAGTTTTTTATTAGATGATTGAGATAATTTATTGTCTTTGATATGTTATTTTTTCAGTAAACATGTTAAACATGATCTTAATGTCTAATTTTGTTTGCAGTTGAGTAAAATTTATCCAAACTTTAGATTTAAATTTGAATGTAAATATATATTTTATAAATTAGTGTTTGATTTTGGTTGCAAGTTAATCATCATTATTAAAGAAAATTAAGTTTGGAACAATGAGTAGTTTTTGTTTGTGTATATTATTATTATTATTATTATTATTATTTCAAGGGAAATTAAGTAATCTAATCACATATTAATATGTATTTGAAGAAAATAACATTTTTTTTTTACCAAAAATAATCACTTGGTCCGAAATGAGCATTTCAGACCAACAAAAAACACTTTTTCTGACAAAAAGTACATTTTAGACTGAATTCCAGACCAACATTCCATATTCTGGACTGAACTTTTGGATTTTGGAAAAAAAACTTTAGAATTTCTAGAACAAGTCTCAAATTATGATGAGTCAATATTTCAATCAAATAATGATTCCGTAAAGTAAATGAGCACGAAGGGTAAATAAATCTGTTTAAGCTCTTGATTTTCTGGAAATAACAAAGGTACATGTTACAATGTGAATACTGAAAAGCGCTACCTATAATATCTACTACAGTATTATATATAGTACTCTCAACAAACACAAAAAGTATATAGAGACTTCGACATTCAAAGTGTTACAACAGTTATGCTCTTTAAAATACATAGATATATCGAAGGTGCGTAACCTTCAATATAGACTACAAGACACTACATCGATATATAAACCATAAGAGTTCGACAACGAATATCTTCATAACAAAACTATCCTCTACACCCCCCTACGAAGAGTATTCAAGTCTTCAAGTAGTTGGTAGTGTCTTCACTGCATCCATCAGTGTATTCCTGATCTCTAAATACCAACAAATCACATTTCTTATCTTCTGCCTATCACCATCAGAATTATTCTTGCACTTTGCAATTCTAAGCAAAATATTCGTCAAATTTGCTATAGAATACATTTCTTTCAGATCGGTATAAAAGAAGTGTTTCTTTTGTTTTCCCTCCACCTTCTTCCCTTGAAAGATAACACCTAAAGGTTTCAAAATAATATATCCATCATCATACTGTTCGAGATCCACACCATCTAATGTTGCATTTGGATTCTTCCCATACTTGTTGTAGGCTTTAGCAATCTCAAAGTCAGTAAGCCCAAGGTGTGCAAGATAACAATCAATGAAGTTCTTGATATAAGCATATCCCATAACATATGATATCTTATCAGTCACCTGCTTATCATAAAGAGATTTGATAAGATATGGTAAAGTGATAAGATCATTCAGATTCATCAAAGAGAAGTTTGTGATGGTGAACTCACAAATACCGTGATCTACTCTTATACCTTGTATCGATAGTTCTAAAGGAGATTCTCAAACACATCATCCTTCGATATGGAAACTAGCTTCACAATATTCTTTAAAGACCAAATTTCTTCTTCCTTCTTCCCAAGGACTGCATGAAACCTCATATTGACATACTTGAAGGCTTCATCTTCATGAAAATTATCAGCTAACTTGAATTGTTCAAAAATGAACATTGAAGGATTGAAAGGAAAAATTCTACTGTTGTAGTGGTGTATTCTCAATAACGAAGCTTTCTTTTGGCATCTTTTCGAATGCATCAGCTTCTCCAAATGTCATTGTCTTAATCATTTCATAGTTCCAAGTCTTGTTCATCCCTAAAGGATCATTTTCCTTTTACCTTAAGAAATTGTTCAACTGCTTCAATTTATTGATCTCTAATTCTTTCAACCTTTTCTTCTCCTCATCACATAGCTCAACCCCCTTGCCTTTAACTTTGCTTGCTGCAGTAGTTGGTTTGACTGTCGAAGACCCTCCTTCATTGATGGATAGATTCTTCTTTGACTGAAGCTTGGACATATCAACTTCAATACGCGGAGTCACAACTAAACTTGTAGTTATAGTTGTTATCATCGTCTAAACTGGTTTGGTTGGAATAGGATTTGGGATTTGATGAGAGAAAACTTTCCCAACAACTTTCCCTTTATCTTCTTCTCCTTTCGACGAACCACCCTTATCTCCCATTGTGACACTTACATCGCACGTGGAACATTTGTGGGAAGTCACAATATCAAGTCCAAGATTGGTGCAAGCTGGGTTTTGAAAGAAGTTTATATCGAAGACACAACCTTGTAAATTTGTACATCCGACATCAAAGATGTCGAGTTTGCTGTAAACTTTGAGATTTGTTCTTGAAAAACATTAAGGGAAGTCTCAATACCTTTGAACACAAATACATCTTTTTCATTCTTTTTTTGTAGATCTTCTTTGTATTCGAGATTAAAAGCATGTATATCTTCGACTAAGGTTCTGGTTGCTGAAAGTAAGCAACCAACATTCTTTTGTACACTAAGAAATAAACCATAAATCTTCTTCACTTTTGATTTAATGAGATCATGAACTTTTTAAACTTTTAGTTCAATTGACTCCTTGAAATTTGACAAACTCTTCTCAAATAGCTCATACCTCTCCTTTGTAACTGTCTGGACTTCTAAAACATCGAACGTGAATGCCTTCAAGTTATTGTCAAGCCTTCCTTGAATATCATTCACAACACCCATGACAATGTCCTTGAACTTCGACTCATGAGAATTTAATAGAGAATCCACTTATTCTTTGTTAACATAGTAAGATTTGTTGGCAGGAGAATCATTTAAACACTACAAGATCATGTTCATCTTGTAATTTAAGATCTTGTATTGTTTCCCAAGCATAATCGCTTCGTCTTCAATATCCTCTTCATCAGGATCTAAGGTAAGAGCTCCAAGATCAAATGCTTCCTCATCATCACCCATATGCTGAGAATCATCAATTACTTGATCATTTGAAGGATTGGTGGATTTAGATGAGAATAAAGTAGCAATAGGTTGACAAAGGATTCCATAAAAAGTTGGTGAATGGAATGGAATGGATGTGGTTTGAAAAAAAGATGATTTGAGTGGTGAAGTAGGTGGTGGTGGAAGAATTTTCGAAATAGCAATAGCCGAAGGCACACCAATGTTGACATTTGAGTGCATATTTGATGCTTTCTCAGGGATGTTGAGATTTCTATTCTCCTTTGTATTGGATTCGAAATTACAGACCTCTAGTGGAATAACAGTAGTCGACTCTCGAATAGATATCAAACGTGTTTCAACATTCGTGATATTTGTGTCCACATCAAATGTGTTCACATGGATATCCAGAATGCGTGTCTCCTCTATAGCAGATTCGAAAAAGGAAATCCTTTATGGTGAAATAGGCGGAGAATCATTTTGATATGCATCATTTATCAAATGATCGACATCATCTACATTTGCTTCACGATGTTACTGCGAAGACTTACCTTGAGTTAAGTCCCCCATCTTTGTATCTTCGTCATCATTTCCAACACCAATATCATCTTTCTCAACAACCATCCTCTTTAACCTCCGAGGTAATGGATTTGCCACTAACTTCTTACTACCACCAGTTTTCAAAACACTAGCAACTTTCCTCTTTTTCTGTGGTTGCTCCACACTAGATGGTTCTTGGATAACAACATCCTTTAAATTGGGCTTCGATTTCTTTGGAGTAGGAAATCGAGAAACTTCGACAATTATTTCTCGATAACAGATCAACACAAGATTCGATTCTTGAACCAAAGATAAAATCGCTTCTGATATGCTTCCAATAGAAGGAAAATCAGTAGGATTGTCAACCAAGCTTTTTGGAATTTGTAAATGTGAAAACTCAGCCACTTTAATATATGCAGGAACTTGAATACCAACCTGCTGATACGCCTCAATAAGGATCAAACTCCAAAATCTCGCACTTGTTATCTCAGTTGCCTTCTTTGAATGATTGATATAAGTTGCGAACTCATCCTACAACAGTGAAGCATAATCAACCTTCAAATTATAATACAAACCAACCAAAATCAAATACAATTGAAGCTTAGATTTATCGAGACTAGAATTCCTCCCAGTCAAGCAACGAATGACCACCCCAAAGAAAAATTCCCACAGAGATGGTAATTTTGATATCCTGAAATCACTAATGAGAGTATAGAAGGAGAATACCCCATCCCATTTAGCATAGCGATAATCTGATCAGGAGAAAGGATTTCAAAGGGACCGTTAACTTCCAATTGAAAAATCTGAGAAAACTGCTTCTTAGATAAGTTCTTTTTCCCATTTGTTTCCATTTGAAACGTGATAACCTCACGACTTTTATTGTAGATAGCCAAAGAACAGGCCAGTGATAACCATTGC